GTAACTCAACTCCCTATTCAGACCTCATGTGATTAATACATAACTTATAAAAATATACATACAGTATATACAACTTGTTCATATTCCATATGCATAACTTATGCAGATCTGTAGGAAGTAGGCATGACTCTACTGGCTCTTGTAAAACAAGGAACCATTAACACAAAATGATTCTCACCAGACCTGTTTTCTTAACAGATTTTTACATCAAAGCTGTACAAAAAGCCAACCCAACCAGAAGAGACAACTAAGACTGCTATCCAGGATGTACATTACATACCTCCCAGAAGGCACCAGAGAAGTCACTCCCAGCTCCCAAAGAGGAGCGAACCATGAAGGGCACCAGCTGGTCTAAAAAGACACAGTCATACAGCCCATACTAAACCACTTTGACCCCTTTCCTATCACCTTGTACACACATCCTGGCCTATACCAGGGCTTCCACCAGGACCAGACAGGAAAACAGAGCTTATTTCTGAGGAGGACCTTCTAAATCTCCTTCAGCTAGTGGCTTCAAAGAGAGATTGGTAGATCGGGGATCAACCCCTTATGGCAGACCTTTCAGGGTCCTGAACAAACAAAACACTTCTAGCATTTCTTCATAGTAAAAGGAGGTCTTATTGGGCTGCTGTGAGACTTGCACCATGAGGCTTTTTCATACTTATATTTTAGGCTCATACAGTGTGCACCACTTTGGGTCAGCCTAAAATGAGGTCACCTTTTTTATTAAACCTAGCTGATTAGTGATCAGTGTCACTTGTAAACTAATGAGGCAAAACACTTGGCAGTGAAATGTAAAGTTAAAAGGTCTGCCCTTACTCATGATTAGCAAATCTTTGGTAATTTTAACTTGGAGGTTTATTTAGGTATTGTACAATATTAAACTGAGCTGACATCAGAAATACAAAAGTTTCAATACTAGTACTATACTAACTTTCAGTTACCTAAATTGCTGCTTGGAATCTGCTTGTATTAACGACTGAATAAAAATGTATTTCATTGCACAGGAAAACTGATTTAAGTTTGTTGCTAATGCCACAAACTCCAAATTTGGTGTTTTGCTCACTTTTTTTTTTCCCCCTTGTCTGACGAAGTACTTAAGAGATTTAAACATTTTAAATAATAAATACAGTTAACATCCTATCAAAGCACATACATGTTAAAATAATTGCATTATATGAAGTTTAGTACCAAAAGGACTGGATTCACAATCTGGAAACAATGGTAAATGCCAAAAGCCAATTATGGGCCAGTTAAATTGGTAAAGCACATAAGACTATCATGTTTTGTAAGAAATAATGTTTAATTCACTTACTTGCACTTAATTACAGGTACCTTACAATCTCAAACAAAATGCCCCCTAAATCGATAAGCAGACTCTTGGCCTTCCTCACTAGCTGGCCTCATGTCTGTCTATACCAATCAGGTGTAAGTTTCCACGATAGTCCGGTGGTCTTTTACTTCATGCCTTTTAGCCTTATGCTTGGATGACAACTATTAAACGTTCTATATGATTCTCTAATAACATATACAGATCAGGCAAAAGTGTAAAGACAGTGACAAGAAAATAAGAAAAGAAACAAAACTCTCGAGTTTAAAGCAGCTTAACATGCAGTAGTCATGCAGCTGCTGCTGATTCTGCCAATAGACCCAGCACAAAACAGACAATGAATGCAGCCACTGGACATAGCACTAACAAAATAATTCTGCGCCTTGCTTTAGCTTAGAGAGTGCAGTTGCTGGACACAGCATTAGTGAAGACAAAGTGGTGCTGATTATTCTATACTAAACAGCTTTTGCTTAATAATCTCAGGAAGGTGTAGCATCAGTTTTTTTGATTGGTTCAGTTAATAAATAAGCATACAAGGTTCTTATTTCATATGTTTCTATTAATAATGTTGTATTAGCTGAAAACGCAGACACATTTAGTAAAGAGATTGTAGTCTGGATTGTGGCCAACATATTGTTAATGTCAGGGTAATTTATAGTCCTAGTCCATCACTGAATGTTGGAATGAATATCTATCTGTGCAGATGCTGTCACCTCTTTTACATTTTACATGACTTTTACATTAAAGAACAGAAGTTTGCTAAATTTGGGCCAATATTTTGATCAGTAATCAAAATAGTAGGCTACCTTAAATCTCTAGCGTAGATGGAGGAAGGCAAAAAAACGCTGACCTAAATTTGAGGCAGCAGAAGATCAGTCCTGACTAACCTAATAAGTGTAAAAGGGGTCCCAGACATCAATGTCTGTAGAATATTATGAAAAATAAGATTGCTATACAGGGATAGAGATATTAGTGTATTTGGGGATTACAGTCAAGAACACATAGCAATATTGTTCTCTTGCAGCCTTATTGTATATTTGTAAAGATTTTACACTTTAAAGTGACAAGACAGATGGACAAACATGCAAAAATAACGTCACAAAACCTTAATGGAAAAATACAGACAAAATCTTAAAGGAGCTGATGCTGTATTACTTTTAATTTGTTGATGAATTTGTGGTATTCACTCCAAATACTGAAAAAATCAAAAATGAATACAAGAAATAGCTAAGGCAACAAAGCAGGACAGAACATGAACTAATGAAAAAATTGAGGTCTAACATGTTTGCTTAGTCTAAATCTGAAGATTTTAGTCAATGTATCTAAGCCTGTAGGATTTGCCAGCAAGTCACTTGGAAAAACATGTATTGCCAAGTGAAAACCAAATGTATGAAATTAAAAAAGCTGCAATTCAAAGGCGTACTTATGGAAGAAGGAATTCTGAACAAAATCTACCTTTGTGACTCAAGAGGAAATGCCTTTGGCCGGTGTGCACTCCTTGTGCTTTGGGTGTGAACTTGGCTCTGAACACAAGAATGAATCAGACACGAAAAGCAGCCTGATATATGACAATTTGTGACATTACTGGAAGAACGAACACATAAAAATCGCAAAGGGTCAGAATCACTGCGAGATCAATTCTGGAGAATATATCATGAACTGGATTCCAGGGAAAAAAGATCAGACCCGCAGGGAGGCCTCACAGTGATTTGGTTGAGAGATCCTTTAATAAGAACAACCTTTTCAATCAGTTTCTAGTTCTCCTAGAGAAAATGTTAAACATGTTGATGGCAAGTATTAAAGTCAGCTGTGTGGTATTAAAGCTGGACATTCTGTGAAAGGAAGTATGAGTAAAAATGGCAAAACACAATAATCCAGCCATTTAACGATTAAGGGACAGAATAACCTTTTAAGAGAATCTAGTAAATATTGATACAAAAGGCAGTGTTATTTTGTAGATATGTTTTCTGAATATTTAAATCCAAAGTACTTTAGTGAAGCTTAAAAGTATTCTTAGTGATCATTTGTAAGACACTTTGACCAGCGGTCCTGCAGCTAATTTACAGCTAATTTTGTTGATGTATTTTGTGATCCAAAAGCCCTGTTTAATTAACACTGAATGGAAATTAAGCATGCACAACAAAATCATGTTTCAAAGCTATATAAAGTGTCTTGCATAAGTATTGAGACATTTGCAGTTTTCACATTTTGTTGCTTTAAGGCTTGTAGTCATGATACTTTCAAGTAGAAAGTGATATGTTATATACATAACCTACTTCACATATTCAAAACAAAGAAGACTAGACAATATGCAAGATAAATAAGTCTAGTAGTCAAATGTCATACGTATACAAATATTTTGCTGGGCAAACTTATATTAATGTGGGTGCATACAACTACTTCAATAAAACACACAATTAATTGAATGGCCTCTGTGTACAACAGTGGTTCACATGATTTCAGAATAAATACTGTAAGGTTCCTTAGTCAGATATTGAATTTCAAGCAACAATTCAACCACGAAGAGCAATGAACTTTCAAAACAATTCACAGATGAAGTTGCAATACAATAGCAATAGGGAGAAAAATATTTTGAAGACCCTTAAATGTCACTTGGAGCATACTGAGGTCAATAATTAAGAAGCTGAATCTTCCAGGCACTGCATACATTAGGCTGTTCCTGAAAACAAAGCAGCTAGGCAAAGATATAACGAGTGAGGGATGTCACCATGAGGCCTATGGTGACTTTAAAAGTATTACAGAGTTTAGTGACTGAGACAGACAAAGTGTTAATGGACTAACAATATATCCAAGTCACTCCAGAAAGTTGGCTTGTACAACAGAATGGAAATACAATTTCCTACCTCCATGGAGGTTGTAACAAAGCATGTGAGTGATCAAGACAAAATTGGAACTCTGGCCTACAGTAAATGCCAAGTGATACTTTTGGCACAGTTTCAAAATAATGCATCTGCTAGTAAATACCACTACTACAATTATATAGAGATATTTCAACTTTTTAGGATTGAAGAAAGAAGTACAGGAAAACACTAGAAGAAAATCAGTTTCAATCCACTGAATACTTCAAAGTAGGGTGACAATTCACCTTTCAGTAGAAATATAATCCAAAGCACAAGACCAAAGCTACAGTAATGAGAAAGTTTTCTTGAGTGTCTCAAAGTCCAGATTTGAATTTGTGGATAAGCTTGAAAACCCTTACACAAGGTGATCCCTCAATCAACTTGAGAGAGCTTGAGCAAATCGTCCAAGAGGAATGGGCAGAAATTGTGCCAAGCTGGTGTGCAAATTTGGTAGAAGTACTGAAAGACATGCAGCTATAATTGCTGACTAAGATGCTTCCACTAAATATTGCATTCACAGTTCTGAATACATATGCAATCAATATATTGCATTTTTGCCAACATTTATTATAATTTAACTTACCCTTAAATACTCAAGACTTTTAGTAAACATAAGTTTAAAAAATGTATATGCATAATTTTCTAATTTCACACAATAGGACACCATAGGAAGGTTATGAATATTTTTATGGCAAAACGTTATGGATAATGTAAAAATAGTGCAAGCATTAAGATCACATAAAAGATAAATTATGAATATAAAATATGAAGAAAGATATAAAATAATTGACAAGAAGATGGAATATATATAGTGCTTACAATTATATAATTTGAGTCAATTTTATTGTGAAAGGAAAAAAAGTGTATAATTGAAGCTTATGGACAATCAACAAGCATTTTGTGAGCAGTATGCAAACAGTACTCAAGCACTGACTGGGGGATAAAACACATACAGTAAAAGGCTACTTAAAGGCATTTATTAATGAAATACACACTCTGAATTTTTCAACAAAATGCTTCCTTAATAATGTGTGGCAGAAAAACAAGCCCAGTTCTCTAACTTGACTGAGCTTCAACTCCCAACTGCTTTGACATGGCAATGAAAACAAAGTTTTATTACATGTGCAATAAATAATTATATTAAAAAAAACAACAAAGAAAAAGACACCAAGCTAAGTGCCCATGTTGTAAATCAAATCTCAACACATGTATCACAAAACATTGAGAACAAGAATAAAATAAAAACCATAAAACCTCCACCATTTTGCTTAAGTCTGCATTAGTGTGATCTGATATTCCCAGTCAACTTGATAGGTTACTGAGAAGGAAATCGGAAACCTGAGTAAATGACAGGAAAATAGGAGAAACCTTGAGTTCCAGGTTGGAATTTTAAACCATCTGAGACACGTATATTGCACATTTCTTTTTTCAAAAAATATAGCCTACTGAACATTGCCACATTAAAGTAATTATAAGACCTTGTTCCCAAAAGGAGCACATTTTAAAGTGTATGTTGCACACAGAAAACAATAATGCAAACATAATCACATTCCACAACAATAAAATGAATGAAAAAAAGCAGAGTACACAGCATAATGCTAGGAAGGGGAAAGTGTTAAAAGTACATTATTAAGTTTTATAGAATTCTTTTCGTGCAAGAAACCCCAAGATTCCATACTTATGGTTATAGTCATATTTAGCCAGGATAAGAAATATAAATGACTACACCTGAAACTCTGATATCCACAAAGCTGTGAATTCTTAAGAACCATAGAGCTTTGCCCTCATACTGAAATGGCTCAGCTACTGAACAAAAAAACCCTTGCAGTACAACCTTTTCTTTTTCAGGCTACAAAACAGATGATGGCAGTCCTGGCTACGAGGAACTCACCAGCGTGAAGGTTGGCTACTGCGGCTTTTTACATTTGCATTACAAACAGCTGCAAATATATTGTCCATTGTACATTAGTTGCCTCAATGTTATTTTAGGAACTATGCTTTTTTTCCCCGTTTGAGATTTTTTGGTAGATTTGCATATGGATAATTAAAGCAACTCTCTACTGTCGAATCTCTGCAAGACTGCCAAATACTGTCACTCTTTTGAAGGTTTTAATGCTTCGTACATACTGTATCACTACAACTTTTAAAAATTAGTTTATCACTACAGTTTCTACTCATATTTTTGTCATTATGTTGTCATATCAATAAATACAAGATTTTGAAAAACTACAGATCCAATTTAACTTTGATACACCAGCTATTGTACTAGCCCAGGGGTGCCCAAGACATCGATCAGAAACTAATTTATAGAAACAATAGTAATTCTCAATAAGATTGTAAAGATTGGCAGGAGCCAGAACATTTATGTGGCTGGCAGGAGGGGGATTAGCCCGGAGAAATTAATGAAGTTTGATATGGTGGAAAGGGCAAATATGCTTGGGGCCAGATGGCAAAATGTTATTTTTAAGTGTTACCCAGTCCCAAGGTAGTGTCTTGAAATCATAGAAGAGAGCAGAGGTACTTGAAATTTTCATTTACATGTATTAGACTGTTCTTAGGTTTTATATATCTTGAGGATGGGGTCCTAAAATGAGTGCTGTATTTATTATGAAAAAAACAGAAACTTTGAAAATGAGTGGGGGGAGTACATTAAGATGACCAGTTAAAACGTGCACACTTGATTTGACATACAAGCGTAGTGAAAGGAAACGGAAAGCATTTCAAAATTGTTAACGAGAGGTGTGGGTGAAATTTCTGTTAAAATCAAACTATGAAAGGTAGTCATTGAAAAGGTAAAAATGTATTTCTAGGCAAAATTAATAAAAGTATCGTGCATCTGATCAGTCTCAATATAGTTGAAAAGGGACAAAAATGTGACAATAAGGACATTTCTTAACAGACTTTGTATACATAAGTGTGTAGGTATGTTTTCTTACGTTCTTATACTTTTTATCTACAGATATTACTGTACCTATATAGCACAACCTGTTAAATATTTATCTATGGGGTAGGAGGGAGACTATGCCGGTAGAATGCATTGATATTACTGTAGAAAATTTAGATCCTGTGTCAAAGTCTGGGCACCCATGTACTAGCTGAACAAAACCATCTTTAGATTCTGACAAGCTTCATTTCTCACTCTAGAATTTAAAAAAGCAGATGTACGTTTCAATTTTTAGGCCTGTCAAGACCTATTTCTGTTACAATAATGGTATGACCAGAGTATGAATATTTTTTATAAAATTGGTAAACTATTGGACATAAGCATACAGATAACTTACTGAACTTTGGCAGGCCATAATTTTATTGTCTTCAGCTACTCTTTTATAGCCCTGTATTTCTTTCTTGCTATTCATGTTCCTTTTGAGAAATGACTTAAACACACCCACCAAACATACATTTTACTGGAGTAGATTCAGTTAGAGCTACACATGTGCCTTTGGGACTGCTATTGACAGACACTGAAAAATTAGGTAAAATTGCATTACAGTATCATACAATATTCAAGAGTCCATCCTGAAACCATATCACTGAGCACAGACTAAGGGGTATCAGTAGGAAGCATTAGATGTAGATTACAATTTTTTTTAAGTTTTTAATAATTGTTTCTGGGGGGCTGTACTGAAAACAACTGCACCTCTAAATGCAAAATTTACTTTTTCATTAAATGGTAATATTAATCTCAGTTGCGTTACCATTAATTGGTAAGAAAACAAATGTTTTCTAACAGGATTAAGATTGGTATTATTTTTGAATATTTCAGTTCTTGAAACAGGCAAACTAAATTTGAAATAAGTCACCTTTTCCGTTATTTACTTCAAATGATGCAACCTTTCTCTGTTGACAACCATATAAAACAAGCAGAAAACTCTTTGAAAAAAACTCCTGCTGTACTCAAATGACATTTAAAAGAATGGCATTCTGAAAATTGTAGAGTCGGATATCCAAATTCAATCACTGACGATATGTTAAAATGCTAAAAAAAGAGGGGAAAGACAGTCCTACTAAATAGTCCCACCTATTGGCATATGACCCTTCACAATACTTGTACTCAAAGAAAGCACTGTAAAGCTGTTTAGTCCAAAAATTTATCAGCCAGGTCAATTTAACAAGCTGACATTTAATACCCTATTAAAAACACATCAAACTCTGGATCACACTACAAATAAAACAAAGATCTTTCTAATTCACATGAAGCAATTATGTACCTCCCAATTAAGAGAACAACAGAAAGCAGCTTCTAGGAAAACACTGTATATATATATACAAGTGTATACTAATAAGGCATGTAATCCCTGCTAATTGGGGTTTCAAGACAACCAACAACAGATTTCAAAATCTGTACTGGTGTACACCGAATTTAAAAATCACATCTTCATGTTAATAATAAGTGAGGGACATTAGTGTATTGAACACAATATACATTAATGTAAATATGTAATTGGTGCTGTGTGGATCACCAAACTGGGACGAGGTTTTTGTAACTTTTTGGAAACATGTACGACACAGATATCAACCCTGATAGGTTGAATAATTACAGAATAAAAACCAAAGTAACAGTGTACTAGTGTACTGTAGATTAAAACCAGCTTTATGAGCACATCTTCAGCTCCATTTGATTCTCACTGCTAAAGCACTAACACTAAAAGGTTGGAAATCTATACATCTTGATCACATAAATGTCTCTTTGTCAATTCAATGTCAAGATGCAGCCTTCCTTTAATGTCTCAGTAAAAGGTTGATACCACCAAGACTCTTTAGTTCCCCCTTAGCAAATGTAAGTGACAGACTTCAATCAGAGTACAGGAGTACCTTTATAATTCTGGACAGTGCTAATTGCACTTAATGCTTTTTTTGTGAAACAGTTTAGTGGAGTCATTCTTTTGACTGTCTCAACATCATTATGGATAAAACTACAAAAAAATCATCTTTTAACATGTATTGTAATGCCTGAGGTGAAAAACAAAAGACAAGTTACCTTCCACCCCTATTAACATTCAAGAGTTCTATTGGTACACCATCACATCTCTGAATGACTGGTTTCAAGAGCTTAATAAGTTCTTCACAAATCAAAACAACAATCATAAGGCCAGAGAACATGATGTCCAAAAGATCCACTGAGGTAGACTAGAGGGCCTGTGAAAATGCTGGAAATTTGCCAGTGGAAAGAAAAAGTGTGCTAAAAACATGTTGCATACATTGACTGATACTGCATGGTCAGGATATGTGCTCTCAAAAGAGGACAAAGTACAAACAACTCGATCACAAATAAATACTAATGTTGACATGAGCTGACTATATTTTGCTTTCTGCATTAAAATACTGTATGCATTCAGACATTAAGCATTATTTTATGTTGAAATGAGAGCTACAACAATAGTAAATGTTTTTTTTTAAAAATTGCTTGTCAGTTCTTAGTCGGGTCTTAACTGAAAGTTATAGAAAAGTGTATTGTTCATGTTCTTTATACAATGAGCTGGTAAAAGCCGCAGTACTTTGCATTGGAAACTGATTTGCACCAGAGTTTACAGTATAAAATGTTAGCACCATAATCAGTTCCAGTGCCGAGACAAAATACTACCACCATTCACAATGGCAGAGCTTATCCATCTTTAGGCTTACAGAAACTCTGTTCCAGAACTCGCACCATTGAATTCCTGAACATTTACCTCCAAATACAAAACACACCTTGAAAAAATTAAACCAAAATAAAGTAACAAAAGCCTTTGTCTAATTACATCAGTTTTAAAAAAGTAATTGACACTGATCTTATAGATCCACAAGAATGAAGTGATGTCTGGCTCAACATTTTTAAAATACTCAATTTTCACACTGCAGCCATTTCATTGCTCAGAATCCAAAAGGTATACATGTACATGAAGTAAGTAATCATAAGAACGTAAATGTAAAATACTGTTTTCAAGCTTCAGACATTAAAAATTAAAGCAGATTCTATCATACATAAAGCTGCTAGTTTGCTTAGGTATACAAAAAGCCTATTGGCATGACACAATAGCTTTGCTTTTGTATGGTTAAAGGCAAAAGACAAAGGGCAAGGGAAGCATGGAGTAATGTCAGTGGATTATGCTTAAAAAATTAAAGCATTGCTGACCTCAACTAGTAATGGAATTTGCCTAAGTGAAGGCTGTGTGCTATGATCGTGGGTTTAAACCTGTTAATTTGATTGCCTATGATGCTCACGATTCCCCAGTCAGCACCATACAAGCACCTGAGTGCCATCAAAGGTTGAGATGTTCAGCTCTCCCCTACCCCTGCAGCTTCCCAGATGCTTGCAGGCCTATAGTGCTGTCAATGAGGGACGCACCACTTCTCCAATCAGTGCTGAACCTCCAGCACAGGCATGTGACATGTTAAAAGATAAATGGTTTGAAAGTGGGCGGGTTTGAGAAACATGTCTGCACTTCCTCATTCTCCCGTGTGCTACTGCAGGGTTCGTAGCTGCTAGCCGAGACATGAAAAACACACAAATGTCCATTTCAGATTGGGTGGGTAGAACAAAAATAATTGGCGATTTTAAATTTCAAATTAAAAAATGGCAGACTTTTGATCAATGACCAGTTAAATAAAAATTTATGAACTAGCCATTTTTATACTGAATTAACCCATTTAACGGCACTCAAGACAGCACCAGATCAATAGAAAGAAGGCAATGTACCCATTTGTGGTCTGAATTATCCACCATTCTTTCAGATCGTTTGAGGTGGAAAATTAGCCCTCTTAAATGTGCATTAGGATGCAAAACCAATAAGCACTTATCAGACTTTCTACAGAAAAAAAGTTAGAAACATTGGTTTTGCAAAAAAGTAATTCTGTATTAAAAGACAGTTCAGAGGGCAGATTCATGACCATAAGCAACCTGTCAATTAGAGGTTGTTTTCTTACTAATGTATAAAAACATCATAAATTCTTCTCCTGAATTTCCAACCAAAACATTTTGATATCAAAATTTGCTTAACAGAATTAAAGGCTGCAACCGAATGTGTGTTTTATGTTAAACAAAAGGAAATTTCTATAAAAACATTATCAAATGAGAAAGGAGAGGAAGTCCAACCCCCCCCACCCCCCTTCAGTTTTATTGGTACTGAACTTGGTGATGTGATCCCATGCAAATGTTTTATATTATGAAATAGGGCAAAAAGATTCGTTATCTGCCTTCATATTTTTTCTTTCTTCTGCACCATTACTCCTAAACAATTAAAAACAGAAATCACTTATCATTAATTTGGTGCAGTGCAGCAAAAATCTGTAGTTCAAATACATTTTTGCTTGCTTTACTTTAGATATCAGAACACTATTCAGATTACAAGATGGAAAACATCATCTTACAGTAATCTTCTTAGATTTCTCACTAGGAAGTTGTAAAATATCTTACTTTGAATATTAAACACAGGTCACTCAATATTAAACATTTTAAAATATCCTTATATCAACAGTAGGTTTTTGTTTAATTTCTGGGCTACTAGACAAGCGAAATAAACCACAAAATCAGTATTTTGTATGCACTATTAAAAATAGCACTTAACACTGTTCTGCCATTATATATATCTATGAAAAGTCAACTATTTTACCTATGTTGTAGCTTTTCATGGCTTTGTACCAAATATTTCACGGTTAGCACAAAATGAATTTAACCTTCGTGGTTTATTCAAAGCAATTTTTGATATAAAAATGGTGGCTTTCACCTTTCTTAGGTTATGCTTGCATTAAAACTAAGTTATTTGCTATTAAATCAAACATTTACAAATACCTTTCAGAAGATCTCATTTAAACTATTAATTCAGTATGTAAACTCAAACAGCCTGCCACACAAAACAGAGAAGCCAAGCATAAAAACTCTATGGATTAGGCTGTGCATTTGGCAATGTAGGTGGCAATAAGCTTGGAAACCGTTCATGGTAAAAGAAAACTGTTTGGGGAAAATACATTCACTGGTGGGTTAGGAGATGACTGCTCTGAGAATTTCCAACTTTGCCCTTGGATATGAATCTTCTATTCCTGATAATAACACACCGCATATGTGAAGTGACATGATAAGGTCTCGTGTCACCTATGGCATTTATGGTTGAGTCAAGAGGACGGAAACAACAAAGTGCATATTTTATCTGTTGTGTGCCTGTACAACAAGTACTAAATACACATTTCCTAAGCTTTTTCAGAATTCTAAACTGGGCATGTATTGTATACAAATTACTGAGACATTAAGGTTTTCTTTGGGGCTTTCACTAACTTTTAAAAGTTACCCACATTTCTTAATTACATTAAAAAACGTCAATTTTACATTTTCCTTCAACTTTAAGCAATTTCAAATAGATTATATATGACATGGGATCTGGACCATTCTAGTGCCTGTTTCTTAGTCTTCTAAAGAAATACAAAGAATCTACTGCAGGTTTACTGCGATATCTAAACTCTGTTGAACAAAGCCTACTGAAAATCGAGATTTCTGTGCAGATCAATGCTATCCCATATTTAGCAGTTGACCTCCCAGTTCAGCCCAGTTTTGAATGTACTTCAAAAACAGTTTCTATTCACCAGATGTTTCCAAAACGTATTGCTCCCATAATGTTGATGAAGCATTAAGCAATTCCATATTTGCACTGACATTTTCAAGGAAAAGAATTTGTTTTGCCTTTTGCCAATAAAGACCAGTGGTAAGTTTTTTGTTAGAAAAGGAACATAATACAATACAAAAGGTTGTAAATGAAAGGAAACCATAAATTTACTAATATAAGAAGCTGGTGTGTTTTTTATACCAAAGTCTGTTGTTCTGAGTTTTACAACACAATGGTAGCCCCAATTACAGCACTTTCTGAAACCATGCCTAGAGTTCGCTCAAAACATTTCTAAGGACTTTTATATACAAGACTTGTATATAGAACATAAATAACTACACAAAAATATTAAATCCAGTCTATTCACAATTGACTCAAAAGTAAGAAAATTAACAAAAAATGTTTGGAGACAATATACAACTCAATAAACAGTTTAGAAATTATTTCATATATAACTATATATACTTTCTGTGCTCCCAAGACATATAAAGTGTGACCTGAAAGAAAATGTGTTGTTAAAAAAACCTCTTCTGCCCCAAATTACCTTTCAAAACGTTTGCAACAAAAAGGATTGATGTCCTGAAGTACGAAACCTTTTTTTTTCTTGTGTAAACTGTGTACCAGTAGTGTCTTGGTGCCTTTTCCAATCTCTCTTCTGTACAAAAGTATAAATATATGCTTTCTTCAAATATTTCACATATCTAGGACATAGCGGACAAAGAAAGGTTGTTTCTCCCCCCCCCACAAAGTTACAGTATCAGTTCCTGCGTTTGTGGCTTGCTGGTTTGTGTTATGTGAGTTTTTTTTGGTGCACTTTGTGCTGGGTGATAGTCTCTGCATAAGTAAAATGCTGCACAGTCCTGGGCCAGTGGGCCAAAACAACCGCTCTGTCCTACAGCAAATCCATTTTAGGTCTGTAATGCAGAAGAAGGGGGGACTTCTGCAAAGAAAATAGAGAGGAAAGTCCAGTTAACAGTATTTTTAGCACTGCATTACTCAATATAAGAAAAACCTCAGATTCATTACATGTATTCACAAGAAGAATGGCATTTTTCATGCTTCATTTTACCATTAAATTATTAAATCTTTGTAATCAGAAGTTGTCAACATTATTTGGTCTCATTCAAATGTTGAGCATGGCCATTTCAGATAACAGCTTAGGAAGTGTTTCTTCAAGTGACTGAACTGCACTACTTCCCATATTAATTTGCAAAACCTGAATATTTTATCATTCAAAACCAGCCTTTTTTGGCGGGTCTATTTTATTGGCCTAATCAAACTTGAGAAGATGGGCTTATTAACCATCTTGGACATAGCATATTTGATTTTTGATATTAAGTTTAACCAAGAACAGATTTAATAAAGCATTATTTGAGAACAGTTACCAGAACATTTATGGAATGATACTAAAAAGTGCAAGTGTCTTGGAGAATATACAGATTACTTCTTAAATGTGTTATGAAGAAATTTCAACAATATTCAATTGCAATCTCTAAGCCAGACAAACATGAAAACAGATTGGATTAGGTCAAGAAAATCATCACTGCAAGAACCCTCCAATAACTGACATTTCTGAAGGGTATGTTCAATGAATATCAGTGAAGAACAATACTTCTAAACCACACAAGATATTTGTAATAAATTTCAAAGAGCACACATTGCTTTTCACTGGAACTCTTACAGAGCAGACAAACGTTTTTTTGTATGGTTGCATCTAACATGTTTAACCATCGTAGGTGGTTGACATTAAGGACTAATGCATGCTGAATGAAGATTTTTTTTATATTTACACCTCTACATTAATAGCCAAAACAATATATCCTGTTGGTTTTGTTTTTAACCTTATTCCATAATTACCTTAAATCTCCATCTTGTTACAACTACAAATTTCAACGTATGGTCCTTGCCCAAGATTTCTTCATTGCATAAAATATCCAGCTGACAAAGGAAGAGATAAAAAACAGTTCAGTCTTTTTAATAAACGTGAATACGAAAAACAGAAAAAATACAGCACCCATTTCAGTGCATGATCCTGAGAAACTTTATACTGCTGTACCACTCCTTTGACAGGATGGAACTACTTTTTTTTCACTGTTCATGAGTCTATGTAAAAATGTTTTATAAATAAAACTACATTTCAGAAAAATAAAAACTGAAATTAGATATAATTCACCCGATTTAAGTCATAAAGCTATGATGGACGATATGTATTCCAGACAGAGAATTCATTCCTTTTTTTCCTTTTACTTCTATACAACTCTACAGTGATCTTTCCAGATACCCAAAGATAGCCCTTACTTTTTTGGATGTTTTGAATATACAGGTTCCAGGTATTTGATAAGGCACAACCTTATCAAAAGAAATATGACTGCGACAGTTTTGCCCTATTTATCAAACTCAGATGTGTCACGTTATCAACCATTAAGCAATTTTTCAATACACTCAATATTAAAAAGATTACTTTCCAGCTGGGATTTACTTTAAATTCACATAGCCACAGCAACATCTACTGGTTAAATAATGTATCATCAGGCTACATGTCTTTTGATGTTAGATTTGTTAATTCATCAAATGTGTTAAAAGAACTCCACACACATTTTTAGCATTAATTGCCTTCCAGACTATTTTTAACTTTCCGTAGTGTTCTGTTCTAAGAGAGTAAGATTTTCTGTACACTCCTGTGACCTCATCCTTGTTTGGGATTAGGGTTTGTTTTTTCCACACAATTTAATTTTCTTCTTTTAAATCAAATGTTTAAAATCTAGCATCTAACATACACAGATATGTTAACGTATAGAAATAAGGAATGTATTTGCATTTTTAATCACATCAATGGTATGTCCATGTAGAAATGTATTTAATCTGAATAATCCAAATTAATTTGGATAATTGGTCTTACTGATAGTAAAGACTGCTTCTTCCAATTTAATAATTTTTCATTTATGGACTTCCAATTAATAAACAGATTTACATTACCTAATGCATAACTGTCTTTCTTTTTAAGGAAAAGATTCCAGGAAGACATTACAAATTCCAAGAGATAACATGGCGATTCTTTTTTTTGCATTTGTGTGTGGGAGGTGTCTCATAAAAATTACAATAAGGCATAGTGAACTTCATAGAAGACTGGGATGAAAAAACACCAAATCTTCATGTGTGTGCCTGTGAAAACAGCAAATATATACACAAAGTTAACACTTGACTGAATGCTGGAAAACCTTCAGCTGTTGCAGTTTCGGATTACCTCGTTAAAGGATGCCAGGTTGAGCTTTTTGGCTATGAACTTCTTCAAGTGTAGGACGGTAGCTTGTGCAGAGCACCGGATCCACTTGCGTTTCAATCCTCGTAGCTTACTGCTGTTGCATTCCAAGCAGATGCTTACCTTCAGGAGAAAGCAAACACACAGGCAGGGACAGTTAATAAGAATTCCCGCAGTCCTCATTATACACTCTGAAGACAGCCTGCATTAATCTAGTGACAAAAGACTGTGACAGCTCAGCATCCTGGCATAATCACTTTCTCTTAGTCTCTTCACCTATGTCTCTCTCTTTTCAGCACCTGAGATACCCGCCACATCATAGTCATTCTAAAGCTTTAAATAAATAAATGCAGTTTATAATACATTAAATCTTTGGGTTTTTTTTTGGCTTTTTCCTTTTCCATTGCATTAGGCAATTTGCTTTTACTATTTTCAAGAACAGCAAAAAGGGCACTGTTAAATGTAAAATTGTTCATATTTTGCAGATGAAGACGAAGAACAAGATCTGATTAAACAAAATACAAAATGAAATTTCCTCTCAGATGTTATAGCTGTGTTTGAAACATTAACTCAAAGCCTCAGTCCTGGCGGAGCCTTGAATCTGCTGGTTTTCATTCCAACTCAGCTCTTAATCATTGAAGCTGATGCCTTTAATTGATCTGCTTCCTTGTTTAGACTTTTAGTTATCATTTTCTGCACTCAGTCCTTGGTTTAAAGAAATACATGAGCAAACAGATCTTTACACACTCTTTGTCATTTTGTCTGTTCTCAATACATAACCAATTTATGATAAACAAGTGGGTATGGATGAATGTAATAAATCTCCCTCCCCTTCAACAACAAACTATTTTCCCCTTCTGCAGAGGTCAAATTGGTTATATTTGAAGTCACACACCTGAATGAGAATTATCATTCTAATTCTAATTCCACATAAACGTTTTTACATGTTACAATTGTTTATGACCTGAAACCAAATATAAAAATTTGCCTCAAATACAGAATTTAAATCAACTAGAATCTGAGTTAAACCACTGGATTGAAAGACATTATGTCCTGGTTGTCTGATAACCATTTTCAATGTCCCATTTCAGCAATCACAATATCACTTTTTATTGCAGTACATAATGCATTTATTTTTTAAATTATGCTTATTACAATTATTTTATGTATATTGCTTTGGATAAATGCATCTGTTAAAAATAACAGATAATTCACCAATGACAAAGAGTATTAGTAACTAGTAGAAGTAGTAACCATGCTGTGACAGCTGATACACTGGCTTTGAATAAGCAACTAGGATCCTTAAAAACATTTAGCTACTAACAAATTGGGACGAATGGTTTCCATTCGAGCAGGAAAGATGGCAAAAGGCCACTTCTGACCTTATGCGTGTGCATGTAAAAGAACGTGATTACTATAGAATTCACATTTCTCTGAATTAATTACTAGTCCTATAAAGCAACTATACTACTAGGTCACAAGCCAAACAAAAAAAAAAACACAATTGAGACCTAATGGTCTCGAACCTCAACTTCTTTTGTGTAATAAAGTGTACGACTTGGAGTGAATCAAGGGACAAAAATATTTCTAACCAAGTTTAGATTCAAAGTTAAATATAGGAATGAAAATGGAAATAAGAAGTAAAACCTACATAAAAATACAAGGTCACAATCTAACTTCACCAGATTGAAAGAAAAGCTTCTTTCTTCACAAATGCTAACAGCATTGGACATTCAATATCATGATTAAGGAATCAAAGCTTTACTCTCCTGATAAGGCTGTATAGATATAGTTCAGTAGTAGAGCACTACATAAGTAGCATCTGCTTAGTGTGTCTGTATATAACAGAATTACCGATATAACAGAATTCTGTATACCTACATAATCAAGTAATAAACTGTAATTAAATACAATGTTTGATTTAAATATGTGTATTATAGAATATTGCACTATTTAATACAATTTATGATCAGGTTGCTAATCAACAGCTTGTTTCCATAACAGCACAGGAGTTGGTCCCAATTAGTGTGGTTGTTTGGTGTTTTAATTTATAAGTAGCTTGTATTTAATTCAAGCTTAATATTGTCACTGATGTTCAAAAGGGATGCATTTAATTCTATGTTAATGATAATTAGTTTTAATAGCTAGTAATTCAGGAAAGGTTGACCTTTTGATGTGAAGCTCTGTGCTGTGATTCTTGTTTAAAAATTAGATCTAGGACAGCTGTAAAGAGCCACAGAAAACTGAATAGCATGCTTACAAGATTTTTAAGTGGCAGCTGCTGCTTCACTTCAAGCAGGCACTATAGAAAAAGTGGCTAACCCTCATATTTAAATAATTGCTATACATATGGATCAATTCATTTTATAGTCACAAGTTAATAATTAGGTCAATTAATTAATTAGTTAAGTTCAATTAACAAATTAATACCTGTAATAAAAATACAAACACCTTTTATCTTTCAAGAAGCACATTTCGCTATTCCTGATGTGATTGAACCAATTAATTTACTGATTCATACAAACTTGGGGTGGTGCAGTGGCTCTGTGGCCAAGGATCTGCGCCTGTGGCTGGAAGGTTGCCTGTTCGTATACTGGGGCCAGCAGAGGAATCCTACTCCGTTGGGCCCCTGAGCAAGGCCCTTAACCCTACTGCTCCAGGGGTGCCATATAAATGGCTGATCCCAAGCTTCTCTCCCTGTCTGTCTCTCTCATGGAAAGCAAGTTGGGATATGCAAAAAGACAAATTCCTAATACAAGAAATTGTATATGGCCAATAAAGTGATCTTATCTAAACCTCACATTCCAATTCTTGATCATTTAAACGGTACATACACGACCTACACTGGACCTATATGGACAGTAGCCCTTTTGGACCAGGGATGGTTACTTATGCACTACAGGAAGAAGCCCAATCGATTTGTTAGCTCCACACTATACACATTAGGACTACAAGCCTTTCAGTAAATTCAGGATTAACATGAGTTCTTCTGTCTCTACAGCCATATCTGGGCAAACAGTGTGACCTTAGTGAATGCACTGAATACAGTGAACCTTCCTGTTTTGCCTCCAACAATTTAAAAGGTTGGGATTAGGGAAAATATGCATCTAATGTTTAGTGCAGTTAATACTACAAAAGATGTTAAGTGTATTCACCAAGAGCATTATGGGTAATGACCCCCATTCCAATGACTGTAAAAATGCCTTCAGCAGACTAACTTTAAACTTGGTTTATTTTTTCTTTTAAAACCTAAACGCTGAAGTGCTCTTTTTTCTGTTAACTTTAATGACACTGCGGGTGGGGACAAGGCCTCAAAAGCCTGTGGTTCCAAGAGGTGAACCTTTCAAACAACGTTAAGCATACTGTGAAACTGAACGTGACTGTAATCCAACCTGATTACTCCAGCAGAGTTGCATACCATCCTGTTTTGTATGATTATTTTTAAAGCCTGATACACTAATGCAGCAAGACAGGTCCCCGTGTTAAAAAAATGCATCAGAGTCAAATACAAAAGAAGGCCTTTTAAGCTGGCCTGCAGTTATTCTCTTTGGCTTCACATGTCAAACAGTAGTTTTTCCTGGGGCCCCAGGGGCAAAGACTTAAATGGGTTGAGAGCAAATTCTGAAAAAAGCTTTAGTATCTTTGAAAAATCAGACAGAATGTCTTGTCGTTTTGTAAGATGTTTTTTTCAAGTAAAAATATCAATGTCGCACCTCATTGAGGACAATAATGCTCTGGTGGTAAAAACTTCACACGCAGTATGTATACTGTTTACTAATAACATTTATACCCACAGTACAATTAAAATAATTCTAATAATAGAATAATAATTCTAATTAAATATGTAATATATAGTATATTATAGTCTCAATAGCAGTGATAACGTCCTGTTATTTTCATTTTGTTAACTTTCTTACACATGGAATGTTTGTTCGCGTACTCTTTATCATCTCTTAAATATTGAATTTAAAGTTTAAATTGATGAGAAAGCATAGAGATGCTTTGCATCACTTTTGCATAGGGGCATCTTGATCACATAACTTGTATAACTAGTACCCTACTTTCATTTGTAAAATAAGATTCTCCAAGATTAGGCTTCTATTACAATGATTAGCAGTGTACAGGACCCTCGGTGCAAAACAAAACTGCTGGAAACAGTATCTCTGCATGTTTCTCAGAATATTCATGTTTAATTCAGGTGCACCATCAGCACTGGGATTTGCAGTGGAACCTGATCATTTTTCTTGACTACCTTCCAAAACTGGAACAGAAAGGTTTACATCTGTATCTCTATTGCTGTTATATTCAGGGTGCAAATTGGTGCAAAAATCACTTAGAAATATCTTATTTATTACCTGTCTGCATAACCTACAGTTACAAGATCATTATTAAAACAAAATCACAATAAACATTTGGCAATTAAATTAGACCTCATTTAACTGCAATGCCACTGTTAGACAACACATACAAGAGAGGTGTATGGTACTTTTAACTTAAGAAAAAACCTAAAACTGACAAACAGGAAGCAGGAACAGGAAACAGAAGGCACAGACTGATCTGATATGAAAAGAAAAACACTTGTTGACTAATATTAAATTTTAAGAGTTGTGAAATGGGGTTTATTCTGAATTTGTTGAGGCTCAAGTGCATCAAAGATGCTCAAGTGCAGAAACACCACTGTGAAAATTACTGTACAGTCTTTTATTAGGAATGCATTGAGATGGCAGGACACTTGAGATTATTCCAAATAATCTAAGTGTTTTTAAGCATTCAAGTCTTTCACTGTAAAAAACATTTTGATTTAGAAAGAGCCCTACATTTGACATGTAATTTAAAATTCTGCATAAAGAGGACAGAATATTATGATAGTGGTGTAAAGGAGCTTATTAACAAGTTAAACTCTGTATGTAACACTAATACAATAGAAACAATATATTAGAATTATAGTCACAAACATATTCATACAATGATAATATACTATATGTAGATGATCATGTATTTCTCAAATATTTGACTATAAAATGCAATGTGTTTGCAAAAAATAATGTGAAACTGGTCAATAATCTTACTGGCATTTACATTTTAATTTCTGTTCTATATTCACTTAAAACATTGTCCTTATTATTCACTATTATTAATCAGATCATACCATACCATGATCCCTAATCACAAGAACTGAAGCATATGCACAAGAACATATCAGGGCTAATCACATATGTGTTTTAAAGTAAAATGGTTATTGAACTGAAAATATCAACCACCGTTAGCCCCCTCCCTATTACTTAGCACCTGTATTAAAAGGATTTACTACAAACTCTCTAGATGGTCCATGAGAAAATTTATTATTTATTATTTCTTTTACCAACTGGAAAATCCGATGTTTCGTTGCTAACTTTTTCTTACACTTTGAAAGAAAGGCTATTATTTTGTTTGCATTTCCTTCTCCAAGGTCACATTCCAAGGTTAAGTGGCAGAGGCTGAAACACAGCAACAGCAGAACTGGAAAATCAGAAACCTGAAAGCTGCTCTGAGATTACTGTTCGTGCCTTGAAAAAATGAAATATGACTCATAATGACCAAGTGAACTGAAAAGGCAAGGATGCGTGCTCTCCTCCTGTGCTATGTATGTCACCCAAGTCTCCACTACAAAACTCCCCTGCAATGTGATGTGTGTATGGAATGCATAATATTGCACTAGAGCAGTGTGCACAAATCATGTCTGCAGAAAATCAAAGGCTAAACCAAATACTTTATGCGCATATAAAAAACTTATCGGACTGCACAGAAGTTGCAAAGAAAAAAAAATCAGTATTCCCCAATCATAAATATCTGTCTTAAAAAAAACAAGCAACATTTTTAAGAGGTCTACATCACAGCATGGAGTACTTGGATGATTAGAATCATAAATTTAAATAAACACTGCATAGCTGCAGTAATTTTATCTTGAATTATGAATGTTTTAATATACACTGAATACAAATTAAGATGAATGCTATGAATATCTAATTGGATCAGATATGCTGCATTTTTTTAAACAAACCAATCCAAAGTGGTCATCAGTATCTAAACTTTTTTTAATTACCCTTTCAAACACAAAGCTTTATTTTAACCATACCGGAAGATACTTTACGATCATTGCTATTGCAGATTACATTAATTTTCTGGATCATATATTTTTCAAAAGAATGCTTTACATCAGGATATGGGAAATGTTCTTCTGTTTTCTTGCTCTTTTAACCATGTCATTGTTCAATTTAAAAACAAATACCCACTGGCAAGAGGTATTACTGTAATATTTGGTAACACCCTGAAGGGCAGGGTAACAGAAGAGTGGTATAATACCATTATAACATTAAGGTAAAGTAAACGGAGAGCAAGTTTGAGGTCTGAAAAGCCACAAGTCTCAGAAATTTAGCTCACCTGAAAAGCACCTGCCTCAGGTATTTAAGGGATTGAGACATACCATTATTGAAAAGTCAGTAATTTTGTGGAATAGAGATTAAAAAAATGTACCAGCATTTTCTGAACCTGGACTGGCTAAAGAACATGATTTTTTTTTGCATGGTTTCTCTAAGAAAGACATCTCCAGAAGATGTCCACAAACAACCTGTGTCTTGCTGTGTCTAGAAGAAAAAAATCACTATACAGGTCCAGAAGGTTTCACATCATTCAAATTAAGTGTAATTTCCATTATTTTTAAGCACTCTGTAGAAAAATAATAGTGGTTTATTACTTAAGACAACTACAGAGACTTATTCTGAAACTAGTTCACTGTATATCGGTCAGGATCTCTCAGTCATGAGAAATAATCCATACATCTGTGACCAAATAAAACATCAAAAAATGAAAAAAAGCTTCATAATGTATGTTTTGGGGGCATTAACCATTTTTAATGTACTGACTACTTTCAGTAGTCGTACTTTTGAAAGAAATGGGTGAGAGGAACATTGGAATGACTTGAAATTCTGTGCCCCCCTGTCTAGGTCTAAATCATTACATTACATAGATTTCATGCCGATCAAGATGTTTACAGAACGACTAATTTGCATTTGGTTCATTGCTTACTTAAAATCTTATTTCATCGTAGCTTTCCAAAATAATTTCCTGTTTTACTTTTTGGTTGTAGAACAAGTTCTCAAGAGTGAGGCTTAACTAGTCTGATGGACTTGTAAATGCAAATTAAAAAACGAAAATAATAAATTAAAACCACAGAATAGTACCTGTTCATCGCTTCTGTGGTAATCATTGTCTTCATCTTGCTTCTCTTCTGCTGTCTCTTTGTTCAGTGTGTCCTCTGGTTTTGTATCACCTATGATTATTGGAAGAAAAAGATGTAGTCAATAAGCAGATGCAATCATTTGCCAAAAATAACCATAACCACAGAAACCCACATTCCAGTATTACGCTCTATGTAATAATAGACTAGTTTAAGCATTCATAGCTTTCCAATTTACATTAAAATGATGTACAATTATAAAATCTTAATCAGCTTCAAGGGCATAATTAACTCTTTTCACGATGGAAGTAATAAGATAATTGCATCTAGAAAATAGATACCAGGTGTACAATGCGTATCGAGAAATGTGAAGTATAAAGGACAATGAATGCTGCATATTCAGACAAAAGACTACACATTGAAATTCAGGATGTGTCCCTTAAAACACCGTTTACATTTCAAGCCAGGTAGGTAATTAGTCTGAGCCTCAGCTCTGCAGAGAGAACACAAAAAAGGTCATGCAAAAGGAGGACGGGCAGGAGAACAATGGAGTTATTAGAAATATTCTGTCCTAATGGACAAAGATGAGGTCAACACAAGGACCTGAGACAGTTTCTTGTCACAACTAAATATACATGGATTCAGTGACATCTTTCATATGATCACCTATACCAGAAAGAAGACTTAATATATACACTTTAAAAACATAACTGAGTGCCAAATATTTAAGACATGAAGCCAGAATGTAACCAGGTCTGTAAGCCCTTTAGGTCTGGAGTTTGACACCTCTTTTCTAACCAGTTAGGCACTAGGGGATGTGACTGCCCTCTGAGAAGCAAGTAAATCTCCTGTCTACAGTGAAACCTCAGGGAGAAGAGAAAAACTGGTCTGACTGAACACAAATAACATGTCTTCCAGGATAGTACAAGCAAGCTGTGGTGACTCAAGCTAGAAACTATAAAAATATACCAAAAAGTAAATAAAAAATGATGTTATATATATATATCAGATTCCAATTACCCTGGACAAACCTGAAATTGTCTAGTGTTACAACTTAACAAATATGCACAATTTCATGAGAACACAAATTATCCCGTAGTGCAATTCACATGTCTCAGTAGGATACAATACCTTTGATTACAGTAAATAGATGCAGAAACATTTGTATTCTGAAAATCTTTAGTTTACCTACTTGTCAGTAGGGAAAAAGACCCTGAGAGATAATAGCATTAAAACAAACGTGCTTTCACTACAGAGGATAATTCATTCATCCAAAATGAAACCCTATGCAAAAATAATACATACAAAATTGGAACAGGATATCTAAATACACTGCAGCAGAACATTTCTTATTAATATTTATTATTGCAAGGTTGCACTTTATGTTAAGCCAGGACATCAGGTGATTAATCAATATATCAGTTACAATTTTAAAGTCATTGACAGCACTTAAGGCAGGCTGGGGACATATTCCAGTGTTGTGATCACATTAATGCATTTGTGTTATTTTCCCACTCAAAGTCAGCTTTAAAAATGCAGAAATATCTTAGTACCTTAAACAGAGTTCCTGCTATTTTTTCCAGAGAAGGATATGATGAAATTCCTTAAACTTACATAACTGCGTTTAGAAACATGCATTGGCAATCAGCTTTATTATTTTGCTATGGATAACTTATTTAGCTTAACTACATATAAAAACCTAATGTGGTATAACTGAGCCATCACATACAGTATCTGTAGACATCAGGTGCCTGTACATTCACACAAACTTCAGCACAAAGTCGGGTAAAAATGAGAGTTGGTCCTTTCAATCATAGAAGATGATGGGGGTACAGTGAACTCTGTTTCAAATAAAGAAGCAAAAATGTGATCTACCATTTCGCTGAGGGTCTAAATGTGGTTTCATGTTACAGAGTTCCCCTTTGATGTCTCCAGGCACTTCCATTCCCAATTTCTGATAGAACTCTCTCTGCTTCTTCATTTCCGCTGGAGAGAGAGAGAACATGTTTTCCATCTATTTCATTGTGCTCAAGAAGCAAAAAGCATAAGCAAGCATTGCTTAGGTATCAAGTAATTAAAAATCACTTAACACAATCTTCATGCTGCCGGTGACCTTGGCCACCTCAGGTCTTGTTAAATGAAATCCAAACAATGGTACCCTTAAAAGAAAAGACTATGCACATTTTCAGCAACCAAATGCTTTTGTGATTTTTGACAAGGAAAAAGTATTTGGTTAGTCAAAATGTAAAAGATACGACAGTTTGACAACAACAATATAAAAAAGCTGCATATTGTTACATATGGAGCCTGGTGAGGTACGTCTGCAGCAGTTGTGACTCAGGATTTCAAAGCACTTGTAGAATGCAGCCCCAGAAGGATCTGTATTGGCTTTTGTTTCAACCTTTAGCTGGTGGTGAGAGACTAACATTAATTATACAAAGCTTAAATATATGGAAATACACGCATACACTCTTATCGGCATACCAAAATCTGAATACATTGGGTAAGAGCAATTTTGATTAACTCCTTTGGAACCTCTGGAGAATTAGAAGTCTTGGCTTATAAGGATAAGGAAGCTTCCTCAAAGATATTTGCAACCCAAAATATTTTTAAAAAACTTCAAATGTAGGAATGGTTTACTTTTGTGTTGATTTCTCAGAACAAATAGTCTTCATTTCAATTTACAGATTAGTAGTCTTTCCTACCAATACAGCACCACATCACAAATGATGTAACAGAGTCTGAATAAGACTTTTTGCTCCCAGACCAAAAAAAAACTAAAACAGTACTGCATTGGTGGTGGTGGAGTCCCCATTCCCTGTAAAGCGCTTTATAAGTGTAAGCAATTATTATTATTATTATTATTATTATTATTATTATAAAAACGCATTAGTGATTACAATACTTACGCCAGTAAAGTTGATACAAAAAACACAATTGATTTGCCTCCAAAAATGTTTTTTTACTATAATGATGGCAAGAAATGTAACTGTATAGCCACTGCAAGTATGGAAAAGACTGTACACTACATTGCATTTCTGTTCAATCAAACATGTTAATATGTACAGCTATCCTCAATAAAAGGTGGATGTTAAGCTACCATAAAATACATCTAAATTTCATGAGTGCCCAGTCTGGTATACTTTAAAGAAGTGATCAATAACTTGTAGGATTCCAAGACCACAGCAAATTTGGCATTAGCCTGAGGAATGAACACCATCTTCCTTACACTTCCCTCTCTGTACATCACGATACAGAGAACAGACAAATATACTCAACAATGTATTCAAAGATTTAGGTAACATTCTATAACACTTGCATCACCATCACCGGTCTCATACAGATACTAACCTTCTTGAAGCCCAGGCACCAGTTTGTAGACGATGTCTTGCATTGTTCGGTCATGGCTACGAGGAGACGAGAAAAGTATCTGAGTATTTGAATTCTATATTTACTTATGTTTATCAAGGTGAATAAAAATTGATCTAAATCATATGTTTAAAAAAACAAAATACAGCTTCTATTCATTGCCAAAACACAAAAGGTATCTCATGAAATTCACTACCATTTTCCAGGTATACTCTACCCCCCTCTTTGTGCAGTGAGATGACAGAGTATCCAGGGCATAATGTTGGTGATCTGATACAAAAAACTTATGGTTCACTCTGAAGAACAACTGCCTTGTCTGCCACCCATGTTTTAAGTCATATTAAACAGTATATGTCTTCGTTATATAAAAAAAGTATATTTTTCACAGAGCACATCATGTTAAATAATTATTTGTACAGTACAGTACCATAAATCAGCCAGTTACTTCTAGCACCGCAGTTATAATTACCCAAAACACGTTTGATTGCATGAACACCGAGAAACTTGGTTTTCATAAGCAAATAAATAAGTTACTGGAAATTACATAGATAACATGATGAATAAAAACATTCTTTCCAATAGCAGCTGCTTAGCTGACAAAATAATGAGAAAATGCACAATTTTGTAGCAGGAGACCAGAGAACAAATTAAGAGCAACATTCTAGTGAATATGTATTTCTGTATTTCGGCAAACAAACTCCAACTTATGGCAAATTTTGTCCTTGTGTTTTTTTAAATAACACATCAGATCTCCTGGAGCACCTTCTCAGGCTACTCATATCTACATATTTTGGGGCAGAACAGACTGAGTGATCAGAAAATCTAGTTTTTTTTTTTAGCATCTTCTCAGATGAGATGTCCGAAATACACCTTCGTTCAGAGGTTGGTATTGTATTTGTATATAAACACCAGCTGGTGGGAACAGATTTCAAATAAAACAGCTGACCCCAACCCCACTTCATTTATCTATCACAATTTCAGTGGCCCTGCATACTTGGTGGACACATGCACATTAGTTTCCTTTTTTCTTTTAGTTTCCAGACCAGTAGTGCTGTGGATAGATCTGGAGTCTAACAGTACAAAACTAAGAAAATTAATTTTAATTTAAAATGAGGAGAAACTCAACTTAACTTTGGCGTATTGCATACCCAGGGTAATGATAAAATGTCAAAGTTCCTTTCATTAACTACTGTGCTGATAAGCTCCATTAACCAGGCTTTTGAAAAAGGAGTTGAACTCAATTGTAAGTTTTTCAAAGACCAAAGAAAATTATTCAAATAAAAAGATTGAGGTCTATTCCAAATGGATTTGTTGGTCTTTTTATTTATATTTAATGTTACTGTGAGTTTTAGTAGAACAGAATTCTATATATAAAACAGGAAATGGTTTTAGCAAAAGTTTTACATGCCAACAAAAAAAGGCTATTTGACATTTTTGGTCTGAATAATTATCAAAAACAGCTCAGATAGTTTGAAAGCAAAAGGAAAGGCTTTAGAGTTTGTATAAGCCTTAAGTGGATTGTGCACCTATGAGGCAGCCATGTTCTGCTGTGAAACTATTAAAGTCATTAATTGGGTGAAGTCATATGTACTCATTGGCCCTTAAGTTAATCAAAAAATTAAAATGACCACAAATCATGACAGCCAACATTCTATAACTATACCACTGCATATCAAGTGAATGTTATCAAATCACAAAATAATGAATAAAGCTTTGAGTTTGTTGAAAACTGCTTATAAAAAATGTTGTTGTGGTTATTTTTTAACTGCAGCTTATGTGCTCCATCAAAAATCTAGACAAGACTAACATAGTAAGTCCAGTTTCTATTAAGCCTCATTACATTCAAAATGTATAGTGTTTTCAGAATATATTAGCACATACAAGATAATTAATTTACAGCACAGAAGCATATAAAAAAATCTTACACACTAGAAGTTGAATCACGTACCAACATTTTTTTCAGAAGTTCAGCCGGAGTCTGTTAATGTTTTTATAGTAATTTATTGCTTAACATATTGCTTTTCATCCAAAGGGATACCAAAGCACTGTACACATGGGAGGGAACCTTATTCGTCCTCCACTGAAGTGCAACACCCATCTGAGTAATGCACAGAAGGGAAGAATTGCTTCATATACTAAATTAAGTGGGAACTTTCAGAAAGGAAGAGTGTACAAAAGCACAGCATGGAGTTTAACCAGGACAATTGGTTTAGTAGCCTTACTCTTTTGACAACACCAATGAAATGCTTAATGGTTCAATGGTTCAATGTCACATCCAAAGGTAGGCACCTCTTACAGCAACGTTCCTGTTCACACTGGGGAATTGATTTTGGATATTTTCATTTTGTGGGAAGAGAGCCGCCTACTATTCTATGAAAACACTTCAAGTAGCAACATGGATTTATTTGGAGGTCTCCCATCCTAGTGCTGATCAGACGTAGCCTTGCCTAACTTCTGAGATCTGACCAGATTAGGCCATAAAAAGTCACAGACTACAAAAAAGTAATAAAAAACTGGTTAATGTTCCAGATGGACAGTACAAAGCAGACAGAATAAAGTTAAAATTAAAATAAATGTGATGGACTATGCACAGAAATGAAAATATGAAACCATTACAAGCCTGCATGTGCAGACCAACTCATGCACATCAAAACTGGTCAGTTTAATAGTCTCAGGAACCACATAGCTTATAATTATGGACAGTGGGACAATTCAATTAATGAAAATTATTACAAACAACCAACTTCCTGAGAGAAGAACAACAGGAAGCCTAAGATAAATCCCTGCATAACATTCACTGATGGCACTGAGCAGATGCCAAAGGGGCTGGGATTCCATCACGTTGCAAAAACCTTTAATGGACTAAAAATATGACAACCATCAGGCTAAAACTATTTTACAACAGTGCTGGCTGCAGTCAAGTCAGAAAAAATAGTGCTGATAGAAAGTGCTGATGTTTCCACAGAAATGATAGGAATCCTTAATTTAATCAGTTTTTCTTTTTATTCAAGAGGTTAGAGCACTGACATTCCCCTACGTGAAATTGTTATTATGATCTCTAGGAACACAATACATCAATCTTTAGTGCAAAGACTGAAATCCCCACGTAAATATATCAGGACAGTTTACTACACTGATTTCTTTTTGAGAGGGTATAATTATCTCCTAATGCAATCTGAATATCCAATAACATCACAACAGCATAACTCAGTTAATTAATAACTACAAGTTTGTTGCAAAGCTGTACAGAAAATTGCTTGATGCCAAATAGAACTTGCACTTACACTTTTAATTTTTTCTACATTCTCTGTAAAGAAGGACTTTGATGTGCTCCTAAAAATAAACATTAGACTCTCCCTCTTTGAGTTCTTTTAATTTCAGGTCTCTCCGGTCCATTAGATGAAAAGTACTGTTTTAATTTTGTTCTCACCAGAAAAACAGAGCATTAGATTACTTGGGTTATTTGTAAATGGCAAATTATCTATTCCAGCAAAACACTTCTGAAATTCTGTAAAAAAAAAAACCTATTAGGGCTGAGAAAAAACAAATTGCATGGTTAAAGTACACCAGTGTAACATATGAGCTTTGATGACTCTCTCAATGCTATTTTATGGAAATAGTTAACTAAGGCTGCAAACATTATGCAAAACAAATTGCTGTTAGACTTTTTAGCATCTACTAAAATTACATATTTTTCAATCTATGCAGTTAATCTCGGTGCAGTGAAAATGTATCTCAGTTGGAACAAAAAACACTGCTGGCAGACAGCGACCCCTAAAGGACGCAGATGGGCCCTTACAATTGACACTCCAAAGACAAAAGAAAAGCATCACACGCTGATTTGGCAGTCCCTTCTCTGAAGAACACAGCGTGAAATGGCACCTGAATCAGAAAGCAGAAAGCCAAAAAAACAGCAATCCAATTAGTCTCTGCTGTGGGGCTGATTAGTCTGTGTATGATAATGTCAACCGCTGTATGTGGCCATCATAGGTTATAGAAAATAATCTTCTGTGAATCCATGAGGAAAAAAAAATGATGAGCAGGATTACTAGTATTCCTAGTGAGGACCAAGAAAATGAATGTATAGTATACAAAATAAATCAATGAAATATAAATTCAACTGCAACTATTCTTGCATTCCATCCTTGTCTCCCTTGCATTACTATCCGAACCTTAACATGTGGAAATGTGTAATTTTGTACGGATATATGAGAACCATTATTATACACAGTAGAACTAGCACTAGAAGGCTACAGAATTAAACTTTAAGGTGAAAAACTGTAGTTTGGGAATTTAAATGCTCAAACTACAATCACCTTACTTGTCAACAGGTCAAGAACAGCTATTAAAAAGTTAAAACTACTACAGTAATTCTATAACCTAAATGTAAAAATAATGTGTTACTATGAGGTTTTTAGAACATTATGACTGAGTAATAATGCTAACGTTCACTCTATTGGCTTGTATGGCAAATTGAAAAACCCATCGCAAATCCCAACTGGAGTTTGGAAGAAAGCTTTCTAATGAAAATGCAAATGTGTGGCCAAAGGTTTTTTGGTGGGACAATACAAAATTGGAACTTTTTGGTTTCAATGCTGTCCCTTAAGAATAAGAAAGTGAATGCCCTTGAATGGTCCAGTCAGATTAAATAAAGATTACTTTATTAGTCCTATACATTAGTTTCTTGCATTAGGAATTTATCTTTTCGCATACCCCAGCTTGCTCTCCATGAGACACACGGATAGGGAGAGAGAAGCCTGGGGTCAGAGCGCAGGGCCAGCCATTGTGCAGAGCCCCTGGAGCAGGTGGGGTTAAGGGGCTTGCTCAGGGGCCCAACGAAGTAGGATTCCTCCGCTGGCCGCGGTATACGAACTGGCAACCTTCCAGCCACAGGCACAGATCTTTAGCCACACAGCCACCGCTCCGCCCTAAAAGCCTTTCACCTCTATTTAGGAAAGGCGCAGATCCTTAGCCACAGTCACAGTCCTGATTTGATTTGAAAAACCATTGAAAATCTGTGGAATTACTTGAAAATTGCGAGAAAGCTGAAAAGAGGTTCCCAAGCAATCTGAGAAAGCTTCAGAATATCTGCCTGAATTTTAAAAAAGGCCTATGCATCATTTTGTAAAATCACAAAATAGGGCACCAAAGGAAAGCCCTCAATACATTTGCAAGGCACTGTATTTTTCCTGTATTTTTTATTTATTCCATCTTGCAGTCTTCCATTTTGTAGTGAGTAGCTAATTGATCTAATGATCTCATCCAACGGTTTCTTTAAAGAAGCTAGTACACCAGCTACAACAATATGGCTGGGTAGCTTGTTCCATACTCCTAAAACCATTTGTGTAAAGAAGTACTTCCTGTTGTCAGTATTAAATGCCCTTCAAAAGAAGACCACTGGATAGACATTAACCCAGCTTTTTACAGTGATGTGTATCGGTCCATAGCAGGCAGGTCTTTGCAAACTAAAGCATTTATTGGTTAATGTCTCTTCTCTATGAACATGAAAATCTGACATTCAATACTAATAAAAGCTGTGCTAGAGAACAACAAACATGTAATTCTAATTCTGATCCTCCTTCTAAACAAAACTGTTTCTGCCTAGAAAGCTATGGCTAAAAATGGACATCTTTAAAAAAACTCAATGTGTATTTTAATTGGTGAATTGCTGAGGTCACTGAAGCAGCCCATTACATTTTGTGACAGGCTTCAGGGAGCTCCAAGATGCTGCGGGTTCCTGGTCTTTTTCCAGCAAAAGACATCAGATGTGCACTGGTACTCACCCAATGTACTGTAAAGGATGGCTCTGATGAATAACAATTCTGCACGTTGGACATGTATTGTTCTCTTCCAGGTACTTCACCAGGCAGCTCCTGCAGACTGCACAGATAAACAAATAAATATGAGATTTAAATTCATCCAGAGTAACATTCTTGCAGATATAAAAAATAACACTCAACACTTGAAATGTTTATGTATAACATTATCCCACTTAAAATGTATATTTTCACAAATACCTCTGTTTTTATTTAAATCTAATTGATCTGTGTTTAGTATAGCTTTTTAAATTTAGCAATTTAAAGTACCTAGGGGACTGCAAGTAACTTAGGTATGTCAAGCATTCAGTTTTAGAGGACTAAGGTCTAATAGTTCAAATGGACAGGGAGTGTCGAAGGGACATTAATTGTGTCATACAGTTGGCAAGACATTTGTAGACTCAAAAATAAACAATATACTCTTTTAATTTAATAATTATTTTAGATATAATTTAGCTTAAAGGTGCCTATTAATGTTATTTTATTAAAATAATGCTAAATAAATCTCTCATAGTGTATCCTTTTCACATAAAGTTCCTTACTTTACTCCTCCATTTATTTTTGGCTGCAGGTCTCCCTCTAGTGTCAAGCACAGAACAGTTCAATAACACTTAACCCTACATGAATTTGCACTATTTTACTGCTATAAATCATGACTCAATAACACATATTAGACCCATTATCTAAAATGACTAAGATAAAAAAGACTACCACACAAATTATACTTTTATACTTCTCTCAAGAAATCTGCTTTCATGCTTGCTTTAAGAATAGGATTTATTATTACCGTATAGGTTGCTAATAAGGAATGAACAAGTAATAGGTTTATTCCATGCTGAAAAAAAGAAGAAAGAGAACACAACGTTTCGGCCGTGGAGCCTTCTTCAGGTGTCAGGTGTCACACCTCTCAGCATGGAATAAACCTATTACTTGTTCCTTTGTAGCCTACGCATGCTGACGCAGCTACCCACCTGAACTAATAAGGAATGAAGGTAACTTGCATTTTGTACCATGAGATTCCTAACTATAAGTGGATTTCTTACACTGCTAAAAATAACATATTTCCTAAAAACTTTTGTTAAGGGAAGAAAAAGTTATCTAACCCCCTTCAGAAGGGGAAAGGTATAGCTTTGCTTTTAACTGAGCAGGTGAAACACCTAAAAGCCTAGCGTACTGAAAGATTTTACCAGTTTTGTCACATTTATGTGACAAACAAACTTGTAGTAATATAGTCATAATTTGACTCCAAATTGAGCTTCAACAATATGGCTGAGGAACTTGTTCCTTATTCCCACAGCCCTTTATGTATACTGGCAACATCTTGAAAACCAGAAAGAAACCCTGAAACTGCTTAAATGTTTTATTTTAATGAATTAATAATCATGTGAATGAAGTAAAGGTTAGTAAAACAGAATATACATTATTTTAGGGTTCAAAACAAGTTGTAGTGATGAAACTTGCTAACAACTAGCAACTACATTTTCATTTTTACAATACTGTACAGAAATAGAGCGAAAGTGATGACCCTCATTTTGCACAATAAAAGAACAATAACCAGTCTGAGAACCGCAAACTGAATGGCATTGGCGAAGATTAATACATGTAACTGAACTTCTTGCTTGGCATGTTTTAGCCTATTTATGCACTCCATGCTTTAAGATCTTGCTGCAGTTATGCTGCTGCAAATAAGACAATTTAGTAAACAGAGCTGTGCCCAGTCTCCTTACCTTTCTGTAGTTTCTCCATAATTTATGTCTAAACAATGCTAAGTAGGTGATTCTTAACACATTTAAATGATACTATAACAAACACCCCCACACAAAAAAATACTTTCTACATACCTAAAATAGGCTAGGTGCAAAACCCAGACACTGGTTCAGGTTTGATGCCACTAACTACCCCATAAAACTTCTTAAGCGCCCTCTTAATAAGTCAACTTGATTAAGGCCTTATATGTCATAAAAACCTCAGAAGACACTGATATTACAGGACCAATATTGACAACTTCTGGGCTAAGGCCTTTGGTACAGCATTATTTGCTCTTTAAGCTGTGGAAATGTTATCAAGAAACTAGGGTCACTTGCTGACATTTGTTTAGAGATTTAGCAGCTTCAAATGCTAGGTCTGTCTATGCTTAGAGCAGAGTAAAAAAGTGCCAAACGTTCTTGTAAGTGTAGATAATGTGGCTGATTAAAATGTAATTGTACACAAAAAAATATAATTGCAATACTAGCAGGTAGGTCCCTTTTCTAGCCATAAAAACCCATGGGGAATGGGGGGGCAAGGGCCACCATTTTTCTTGACCATCCGCCACTGGAAGTGGTGATGTGGTCAGCACCATGCTCTGGTCGGCCTATTACCCCCAGAAGGATTAACCCCTGGTACTTATTTGGAAAGCAGGCTGAGTGGACCTGGGAGACGTTTGGGAGGAATTAGAGCAAGCGACATCAATTGTCCTTACCTGGGATTGAACCCAGGACCTTTTGGTCAGGAACTAGACGCCCTTGCACTCTGAGCTACCACCGCTCCAATTGCAATATTAGTAGACTATGAAAATCATTTGTGAAAATCTAGTGAAGTCCTAACTATTCATAGTTCCTCTTTATTGGTTTTAAAAAAGGAATCAAGAGATAAGAAAAATGCAATTCTAGATTTTTTATGGAATTATTCAACTTAAAGGCAATTTAAAAATTTGCTTTAAGTCAACAATTCTTCTGCCATTTTAGAACAATACAAATCTTAGATAAAATAAAAATTAATAAGCATTTATTTCAACTACTGAACCAAGGTATCCTCCCAGTTACTGTGTCAGTTATAATATACCACAGAGAAGCCGTGTCCCTTAAAATTTAAGAGTTGGAATGTTGCTCCTAGTACAATCTGTCACCTATGACGTGACTGACAGAACAGGGTTCATAAATGTTCTTTCATGAACTCAATGATTCAATTTGCTAAAAAAGTAGATGTATTGTTTTCATAAATCCTGACAAATGGATTTCACAGAACATAGCTGAAAGCTATTCTGCAATTAAAAAGCAATCTTTGACACTTCGTCAAGTGTCATCTTTCAAGTTAGATGTAAACTACATGGCCACATATGGAGAACTCCATTATGTTAACTGTTTATATTGTTGAAATTAATAATTACATAAACTCAGCATAAATGTTTTCCTATTTGCTCTGTTGAGTCACTTTATGCTCTTTCATTGTTCTGCCTTTTTGACTCCTTTTCTATTAACAGCTGTACTAGAACTATGTGTTGAACACAATGGAAAAATGCATATGGCCGATGCCCGTCACCTGATCCACCAGTTTTTTTTTTTAAACAGGGCACTAAATGATTCCCTGAATGAATGCATGAAATAGGAGTAGTTGCATGACTTTTATTTTTAGCTACATTTCTGGTTCATTCCAAGAGCCCATTCACAACTGAATCCCACATCCACAGAACCCCTACTTTCAATGTATAAAGAACTGATTCAAAATAAATTGTTAAATAAACTGTTAAAAACAAGTAAGGTGCATGAATATTTTAAAGTACTGGTGTGGATGTTCTTCTATCTTTGTAAATTTAAATTAGCTCCAATATAACTCATTAATAATACTGAAACCAGCTTGAGACCTTAGGATTTGCACACATTATAGCAACTGCACTATATTTCTAAAAGCTTCTAAAACTGACAAATTATTCTTTAATACTTTGTAATTTCATGGGGGCTAATTAGTACAGTGACTGGGGACACTGTACTGTAGAAAGTGGCATCCTTTTGATGAAACATTGAATTGAGGAGTTTTTTTTACTTTTTGGAGTGTTCTCGCTTGAGCCCTGTCTATATCCCACTATGGCTTTGCGTTTGCATGGATTCTCCATAAGTTAAAGTAAATTTCACACTGAATAATAGAAAGAAAAAACAATGTTTTGACACTGGGACCTTGATTACGTGTGACTTCTCTCAAGATCTGCCTTTTTTTCTAGTGATGTAACAATTTCTCTGTCCTGTTCACAATCTGCTGTAAAACTGGGCTGCAGGTGTACATGAGCTGCCTGACAACATGCTGGTAGATACTGTATTGAAGTGGTGTATTAAGTGCTCTTTGGGAATTTCTGATATGAAAAGCACCATACAAAAAGAAAACATATTAATAATTGCCTTCTGAAAACTGCCAGGAAGCAGCTCTATGTTGTACTTGCATTTTACCACCACCAGGTAGAGCCACATAGCAGCCCAAATAAAGTCTTTCACCTCATTTGAACTTTTTTTTTTTTACAGGGAAAGCTACAGAAGTGTACCACATAACACTGCTTCTGAGACAAAGCAAAAATACAGGAATACCACAGGTTGTCATGGAGAACAGGTGCAGCTAAGGAGATTAAAGCAAATGTAGAATTCTCATATCAAACAAGGAGAAACTTTCTATAGTCTGCCTGGCTTTCTTTTTGTGCTATAGAGACAAATTTTCTTTTTTCTCACCTAACGGTTGGTACAATTGATTTCTCTGCGAGAATGTTGATAACCTTTTAAACTCCAAGCAGCTTAAAACATTTTTGCAGCCTGTCGAAAAAGTCATTCAACAGCCTATTTCTTTCTTTAAAAAATTCTTTTGTTAATGTCAAACCAAAGGTGTAAAGGTGTTCTTGGAAATCAATTCTTGTAGTGGTTTGAGGGAAATGAATTCCTTTTGAAAACCACTTCCAAACATTTCTCCTTTTTAACACATTTTCAACAATCTTAAACCACTAAACACCACAGAAACCTACAAAACACACCAAATGAAGAAATCACTTACATTTAACAACTATTCTCAATTTTCACATTTTTCTTGCTCACTGAAAATGGGAAAACTGACTTCTACGTCTATCACAGAGTATTTCTGGTGGCCTGTTGAGGGAGCATATCTTCCAAACTACGAGTTATAAGTATTTAAGTGCTGGAATAGATCTGATTCTAAACTGTGCATTTATAAATTACACATTGGTCACAACACAATATAAAATTAATTGATCAATTCACTCAGTGATGGCAAAAAATACTTAACAAAACATCTGACTTAAATTATCAAAGG